AAAGAAGACATACACCACTTAGAATTTCTGTTCTATAATCAATACTTATTCCCTTCAGGTAGAAAATGTGATTTTATCCTTTTGTTGTTCCCTGGACTTGTGGCAATGAGTGACAGCGTGCAGGCACTGAGAGACACTTGGTTCACGATTTGGAAACACATTGCTTTAGCCTGGCAGTGTGTGTCATGGAATGCTCTGTGGGGGTTGACAGTGTTTGCATCCCCCTGAGAGGCCTCCTCATCTGCAGCCTGACAGGTGCCAGGCAAAGCTGAGGAAAACCTCCCAACTAAACAGCATCACAGAGGATTTGGGCACGGGTTGCAGAAGCAAGCAGGATTCCCGTTGTCACCTACACTGTGGGAATGTCTCTCATTTCTCCTCCCACACTCCAAAGGGCACTAAAAATGCTTAATTGAATGTTTTCTGTATTGTAAGAGATACTTGTATCTTCGTTAGAGACGGCATCTTCGCCTCTGGCCAGGGACGCAGGTCCTTGGGGTGTGTGCTACGGTCTCTACTGTAGTGTTTCTGTGGGTCCTGAGTGAGAGCCAGTGGGTCTCCGTCCCCATGTCTGTCTCCTGTGCCCTCTCTTAGTCTCTTTCCCTTCTTGTACTCACATTTGTCGTGGGCCACCATCTCAGAAACAGTGACAGAGACTTATTAATTACGAAAGCTCGGCCATAGTTTAGGCTTGTCCCACTGCTGGCTCTTAGAGTTTAAGTTAACCCATTCACTTTATCTACATCCTGCCATAGCTTAGGCTTGTCCCACTGCTGGCTCTTAGAGTTTAAGTTAACCCATTCACTTTATCTACATCCTGCCTGCCACATGGCTCGTTACCTCATCACTCAGCACCACCCATGCTGCTTCCTCTGTGTCTGGAGACTCTGCCTGCTTCTTCCCAGAGTCCTCTCTCTGCCCGGAAGTCCTGCCCACACTTCCTGCCTAGTTATTGGCTGTTCTCCTCTTGATTATGCAATCACAGCAATGTGTTTTCACACAGTGTACGGATATCACTCAACACCTTTGATAGTTTGTTTTGTCCTGTTCTGCTGTGTTATTTTTGCTTTATGTCATATTTTATTTTATTAGTATTCCTTAGAAGCCCGTTTGTTTCCTAATGAGAGGCAGAAGGGGAGTGGATCTGGATGGGAGGGGATAGGGAGGACCTGAGAGGAGTAGACAGAGGGGAAAACCTTAATATATTATGTGAGGTGAAAAAAATCTATTTTCAGTAAATGGAAACACCATGCATCCCCTATGGTGTTGACATTGCTATCCTTCCAAATTTATTTATCTTATTTTATGTGTATGGTGCCCTGTCTGAATGTAGGTAGGTATGTCCACCCAGTACAGTGCTTGGTGCCCACAGAGGCTGATGACGGTGTCAGATCAGTGATGGAGGGTTGTGAGTCTTCATGTGGGTGCTGGGACCTGAACCCAGGTCTTCTCTGGGAACCGTCAGTGCTCATACCCACCTGCCACCTCTCCAGCCCCAACACTGAAGTCCTTTGGAGACGAAAGCCTCTTGCTGCTGCAAAGATCAAGTTCTGGATCCCCTGGTGGCACTAATGCTAACCCTGTGTGTTAGACATGGGTGTTGTTCTTACCTGCATTAGGAGGAGGGATTGCATGTGGGTTAGCTATGAGCATCTGCCCCTTCTAGATCAGGGTCATGCAAGTGTTGAATGAGTCATTTTCCTGAACTAGTAACTTAGTGTAAGGGTTATTTTAAGTACCTGTGTGCCTGGTTATGGAAGGGAGTGTCCAGATATTTGATGACATATTTATTCTGGGTGTTTCTGTGAGGGCAGTTTTGGATGAAATTCACATTAAAATGGAGCAGCTGAGTAAAGGCTGTTGTTCACCCCAATGTGGGCGGGCCTTATGCAGTCAGAAATAGAGCCCAGTAGAAGAAAAGGGCTGACCCTTCCCTGACTGAACGCTGCTGCTGTCTGCCTGCCTCTGAACTGAGATGGTAATGGAAAAGAGGCAGCATTTGATCTTACCGTTCCTGGGCCTGCACTGGGAGAAGGCAGCTTTGAAGATGATGCTAATCTTCGATATGCGTTCATGTGCGGAAATCCTCATTAGCTGAACTTTTCTCCTTTCCCATGGTTTCTGGCACAGAGGACTCAGGTGGTAACCTTGGCCACCACTGTAATATCTGCTTGAGGCCTGCCTTCATCCTCACTGAAGGCCTGGTTTCCCCACTTCTAGTGTTTTTCCCTGCTCTGTCTCATCTGAAGGCATACTGGCCAGCTTGGTGACTATGGGACAGTTATTAGACTGTCTAGGTCATTCATGTGGTGTTGCCAAGCAGTCTACTCTCAGGATCACTTGGTAATGAATTGATAATTTCGGGCGAGGTTGGGACCACCTTTTAGGCATTGTACCATGTCTCTGTGGTGGAGCCTTCCTCCAGGATCCTCAGGGTCAGCACCCTGTGTGATTACTGCTATGATGCATTGTTCCTGCTCTCCCCTGTGAAGTCACAGCCTCCCCACACAGTACAGAGAAACACTGCTGCCATGCCCAGGGTATCAGGAAAAGAGAGACCAAACGTCCACTTGTTTGTACTAAGAGAATGCCTGTGTTGCCTTTATTGCCAGGAGAGAGAGAGTGTGTGTGTCTTCATTACAAGCACTAAGAGGTCTCTCCCTTGTAGGAGGGAGGAGCTTTATATACAGGTTTACAGTACAGTGGAAAAACCCCAGGTAGGAGAGATCATTGTTTTCCTCCTGCTAGATGTTGATGTCAGAGAGTCAAAGCCAGGGCAGTATGCCAGGACTAGAAAACAGAAAGCACTTGGACTGGAAAACAAATTGCACTTGTAGGCTGACCAGCAACTCACAGAGACCCCATGGGGCTGGGGCCCAACATCTCCCCCCTTCTTTATATATAAATTAGCACCTATCTCAGGTGACTAGGATGTTAATGTCAATCTTAGTATACAAAAACAAACATTTATAAGCAATATTTGGGAATGTGGGCGTCGTTCTTTCCAAGCTACTCCCTGCTGTTAAGGGGCGCTGACATGCCATGGGGATCATGAAAACAAAACAAAACAAAACCCAGAAACCTGTTGACGTTCTTGTTTTTGTGGTCTGTAAGGCTGCATCATCTCAGCTGTTTTAGGTGTTGGATCACCTGGGCCACTGCTTCAGGTGGTCTTGCTTCATCAAACCATACTAGTCTGGAAGGAACCAACAGCTTTTTATGTTCTGTGGAAACAAAAGCAGAAATTCCTCTCCCAAGTAACCTGTCCTTTCTCCCAAGTATCCTGTACTTATATTTAAATTTAGAAGTCAAAGCACTTTCAAAACATGTAAGTTGGATTAATTTAGCAACATTAATAATCAAATGTCTTTTAGCAGTTTTTGTTCCTTTCTCAGTAATTAAACAATTTAAAGACACCACAACTGTACACAGTATCCAGACTCTCTGTGTATTTTCCATTCTATATACTTTTATCTTTTCCTTTTCTTTTAATTAATACCAGTACCTCCTTTATTGACTGTTACCAATTTTCAATTCACCTGCTTTTAATCCATCCTCCAACTGAGGGCCATCTCTCAGGTTCCCCTTTCTTTCCTGACCTTGGTGTCAGGTGAAGGCCTGGAGATTTAATCCAATCCACCCTTCAACTGAGGGCAATCTCTCAGGTTCCCCTTTCTTTCCTGACCCTGGTGTCAGGTGAAGGCCTGGAGATTTAATCCAATCCACCCTCCAACTGAGGGTGATCTCTCAAGCAAAGCCTGGAGATTTGACCATTCAATTTTACTGTTAGAAGTTGAGGTACCTGTTTAATTCTTTTCTTTCTCGAGTCTCTCCTCCCTTGAGTATTCCTTCTGGCCGATCTTTCCCAGTCTTTCCAAGTCTCTCTGGATCTCGGTGGAACCTCCAATTTTGGCGCCTGCACCACAAGCTAGGTCCGAGGTATCAGGAAAAGAGAGACCAGATGTCCACTTGTTTGTTCTAAGAGAATGTATGTGCTGCCTTTATTGCCAGGAGAGTGTGTGTGTGTGTCTTCATTGCAAATGCTAAGAGGTCTCTCTTGTAGGAGGGAGGAGCTTTATATACAGGTTTACAGCACAGTGGGAAAACCCCAGGTAGAAGAGAGCATGTTTTCCTCCTGCTAGATGTTGATGTCAGAGGGTCAAGGCCAGGGCAGTAAGCCAGGACTAGAAAACAGAAAGCACTTGGACTGGAAAACAAGTTGCACTTGTAGGCTGACCAGCAACTCACAGAGACCCCATGGGGCTGGGGCTCAACAGCTGAGAGCTCAGAGGTCATGGGGCCTCCTGAGCTGTGTATGGGAGAGGCAAGGGCTTTCTCGTGAGGGAATTGAGTGCAGTGTGTGGGGATGGACAGACTCAAGCCTTGGGATCAGAGACCTCATTTTATCTCCTGGTCCTCACTGACCCATTGCAGGCCTTGAGACGCAATGTGTGAGTCCCTCCAGCTGCACTGACCTCCACTGCTCAGTGTAGACCAGTGTCCTCCAAGCCTCTGCTCTTCAGGGCTGTCCTACACATAGGTCATGATTAGTCTTCCCATTGAGCTTCCCTGAGAAACCTGACAGCCTGTCAGAGATCTCACACAGATCAGGATCTGGCTGGCATTCAGGTGAGGAGGAACACAGGTGGAGCATTCTTGTCAGTTGTTTGAGTCTACGAAATGATCTAGGAGACTGAAGGGCACCTACTAAGCTCTCCATAGTGGGAAACTAGAGATGTGTCTGTGGCCAGGTAGCTTGTGCCAACCATGGACTATGAGACCCAGACTCAGTGTCTGTGGTTCCTGTCTCACATTCCTTATAATAGGACACATGGTAAATGATCATTGCCATTCCTGAAAATGAACCTTAAATGTGAACAATGACCTGACTTTCCAGTAAGCAGTATCTGATACCATTTGCCTGCAGGAAATAATCCCTGGGATGGACCTGAGGAGGGCAAGGGTCTACCATTCATACACTTTTCCTCCTGTCTCTTCAGGGCTCTTGACCTTCCTGCGAGGTCTTAGAAGACCACAGAACAGCTGGCTGACTGCCTCTCACACCTCCCCACCTATGCTACCACCCTGAGTCTCAGGAGGAGATGCCCGGGGACCCACCTCAGACATGGTTCTCATAGGCTGACAGCAGGCCACCAGACTACAATCAATCATTGTCCCCTGTCAGCTCCAAAGGGAGATCAAACTCCAGCCCAGTCTACAAGCTTCCCTGGGTTTCCAGTCCAGTCAAGGATGGAGGTCTGGAGCAAAGCTTCAGGTGCTCATCTCTCTGTGAGACTCTGATGGTTTCCTCAGCCAGGCCCTGCCTGAGTCCTCAAAGCTGTGTTCATGATGAGCGTCTACGTCCCTGGGCAGAGTCTGTCATGCCTGGGCTCAGGTACCTCACCACCTCTTCTCTGAGCATGGATCCAGTGAGACATCCTGATTTATTGCTTTTTTTCTCCCCCCTGTGTCCTTTGCTAAATCCTTGAACCATAATGTGGGGACCATAACCCAGAGTCATCCAGGAATGACACCCTAGGTGTGGAGTAGGATTGTCTCCACCCATGACCCAGAAGTTACAGAAATTTACTTACAGTGTACATGGAACTGCACGGTTGCAACTTCAGTGTCAAATTTGTTTCCTACCACAAGCACTTGGTATTGCTGATGTTCTGGATGAGCAGGGAACCATTGCTGTATATTATCTCTCTGCCTGTGTGTCCATGCCTTATTTCATATATTCCACTGGATATTGTAAGTCGTACAATATCATCCATCTCTAATATTGTGTTAGTTGTTGTACTGCACCAGACAAAGTATTTGAATATCCATGGCAGATTGTGGACCTGTAGAAGAACGTTTGCCCCTTCAGCAATGGTGGGCAGAACTGCTTCAACAGTGACTCTGGCCGTGGTGCGAGAATTCCAGTAGGTTAGAAGTAAGGCTAAGAGGGAAGAGAGAAAATCTATCAACATTTGGATCTTTGCATTTGGTGGAAATTTGAAACCTGAGTGTGCTCAACTCCCAGCCTCGGTGTGTTGGTGTTCTGTTAGGGGGAGGTCAGAACCCCCCAAATCTGTCCCCTGAATGACAGTGTCTGCTCGGGTGTCTACACAGCTCACCGCTCACTCCCTCAGATCCCTGCTCACACTCAGAATCTATGGGGAGTGTAGGCATGTCTTCTCTGACTTCCTTCTCTACAGACTCTCTGCCTTCATTTTCTGCTCTTTCCCTGCTCTGTTTCTTCTGAAGTGCTTGTCACCCCTGAGGCCACCTTCTAGATGTCCTCGCTGCTGTCTTCATGGCCAGTAGCACTAGGCCTTTGTGAGGAGGACTAGTCTGATTTTGGTTTAAACCCCACTGCCTGGAACATCTCAGACACCTGTGAGCAGTCAGTGTCCCAGAGCCTGGGGTTTATTTGCTGATTTCTCAGTTTGAGTTTTACTTGGAGAGTCACCTGACAGAGTTGTAAGCATCAATCTTCAGGACACAGGGGCCAGTGCTCATTGCTGCAAGCCTCACGATTATGCCGTGAGACTTCAGCTGTCATTTGCAAGGTCACCCAATTAGAATCAAGGAATCTGATGGAGGCTTAATGGAAATGCAGGCCATATTGGAGTTAGCGCATTTTGAATGAGTTGGCCGTTGTTTTTTCTGTAGATGTTCTTGTGAAACCGTAGCTCTCCCTCGTATTACAGCTTTGGCGTTCATCCCAAAGCCTCTCTGTGTGCTTTTCACCTGTTGGGTCTAATCATGTCCTTCACCCTGCATCGTGTGAGAAGTAAACCATACAGTCAACGCCTTGTTCTCACTCAGGGTCTGTGCTCCTCTCCCCAGTATGAGCCTCGAGGTCTGACCTCCTGCAATTAACTATGGCAGAACGTTTGGGCAGAAAAAGTGTCTATACAAACAGATTACAACTAGAGCCTTCACAAGTCAGGCCCAAGGACAGCGTGTCTGAGTTTGTTGGTTTTTAGCCCTCAAACAGATAGGGAATTAGCACGGCCTGGATTCACCCTGCCAGCAGTTAGGGAGCAGCTGGCCCAAGCTAATCTTGAACTAACTTGGGACAAATCCTTAACTCATTGCTTGTACTTACTTTCACCTTGGATTGTTGATGCAAGATTCTAGTGATAGTTTGTTTTAATCTAACAAACGAAGTTTGCCTGAAGATCAGAGTGTAGAGCTAAGCCACTAGTTAGCCACAGAACACAGGCAGTGGTGGCCTCACCTTTACTCCCAGCATGCGGCGTCAGAGGCAGATGAACTCTGTGAACTCAATGCCACCCTGGGCTCAGACTCAAAGAGAAGCAGAGCTCACACCTTTGATCCCAGCACTTGGGATGTCATGCCTTCAATCCCAGCACTAGAGAGGAATATAAAGCAGGAGCTCAGTGTAGTCTGAGTCCATCCGAGGTCTGGAGGAGAGCATTGCAATCAGAGAAAATCTGAACAATCAGGAGCAGTCTGAGGTTGGGTGGATCGTCCCTTTGGTCTGAGCATTGGTAGAGGTGAGAACTCTCTAGTGACTGACTACTTTGCTTCTCTGATCTTTAGCTTTAACCCCAATATCTGTCTCTGGGTTTTTATTACTCCTGCTACAGATTCCAGCTTATTGTCTAGTCACGCTTAGGAATGCAGTGTAGCACACAAATTCCCCCCTTCCTTTCTTAGATTGTCCTAGTGACTTAAAGTCTCTCCCTTTAGCTGACCCCTTTCCCTTTAAGAGTTCACCAAAGATTTCATTACAAATCACTCTCACCTCGAGTCATAAAGAAAGGCCATAGGTACTGTCCTGCATAAAACTCTTCTCTGTTTTTAAGACCCTGGAAAAACTCAAGCCTTGTCACCTTGCTTTGGTCAGAGAATTGTTGATTGTATGTGTATATAAACTGGAAATTTGGAGACTCAAGCAACAGCAGAGAGAACAGTAAAAGAATAAAGAGACATGCACAGAAGAGTATGGTGTGAACTGACTGACCTTTGACCTCAGATCCCAGATTTTCCTCACTTATTGTAGCCCGTCTTTAGACCCTGGAAGGCGGCTCTAAAGCTGGCCCTTGAAAGTCTTCATTAGCTCATAATTTACAAAGGGGATCAATTGAGTTTCCCTCCCCACTTAGCAATTCACTTTCACTGTGAGCTTCCTGTTGCTCTCAGGCTCCACACAGAAGCCAGATGGCCCTTCTCAGGCTCTTTCCCTCTCCCAGGGACCCCACCCCGTCTCTGCTCTCCACCCCCAGGAATGTCTCCTCACCTGCCAGCAGGAGACCCCTCCAGGGGACCTGCCCTTTGTGGAGAGGGGCTGAGGTGAGCTCCATAATCTCTGCTGCCTGCTAGCTCTTCCTCTGGAGAGGAGGTTTGTCTCTCAGGCTGCTGTCAAGCCTGGCTGCTCTGCTGTCTGCTCTGCTTTTCACCCAGGCCTGAGCCTCCTCCCAGAGGAGGGCACCTCCTGGAGTCACATGGGCTGGGGTGGAGTCTGTGTAAGTTCTGCCTCCAGTCCTATTCCTTTCTGGTTCAGTGTTCTAGAACACACTTTGAGTCACAAGACTGAGAAGTGTCCCGTGTTCCTAGAAACAACAGCTCACACCAGGGCTGCCCTCTGCTGTGTCCTGACCTTGTCTGTCAGCACCAGAGGGAGTCCCTGCACTTCTACAGCCAAGAGTGTGTTTCCTTGTGACACAGAGACCCAGCTGAGCCCAGTCTGCCCTGTGTTCCCAAAGCTCTGGGAAGGTGGGAGTTACTCTGGGCAGGGGTGGAGTTGTCTCTAGTGACTGGAAAATGTCTACTGAGTGATGACTGTGGAGGGCCCGGATCCATTGTCATTGGTGTCACCAGTCGCCAGTCTGATCCAGGCATACAAGTTCTGTCAGGGGTTGTATATCCTGGTGGGCAGAAGGAGGTGACCTGTGTGTCCTAGAAAGAGGACTGTGTGCTCCTGCTTCCTCTGGAGGGCACGGGGAGACACCCTCATCCCCCAGCCTCCTGTGATGACTGAATGTGATTCAGGTCTGCCCATGCCCTCCCTGACCTTTCTGCACACCTTTGTTCTCTTTGCTGATTGCCCCGTGATCTCCCCTATTTCCTCACGGATGAGGTGATGAGGGAGAGAACTACATGGGGTCCTCTTGCAGAATGGGCTTCTCAGAGACACAGGAAGTGATTGTGTGAGGGAGCTCCAGCTCTGTTGGAATTGGGATGGAGACAAGTTTACAAGATAGCTTCTGACCTCAGGGAGAGTTTTCCCTGTTGACATGTGGTGTATTGCCGCCCCCTGGTGTTCATGAAGAGACCTGCAGCTCACGTCTGGGCTGCACAAGGATGGCAGCCAAGCTCCAAATGCTGTCAGGAGCTGAGCATCAAGTTTCCCAGGAAAGGTCCCAGTGTGCAGCTGCCCTTGAGGATCTAGTAGATCTGTGCTGAGGTGAGACTGTAACAGCTGAGGTTTTATAACAACTGCCACTTGATCTGCAGCTCCACAGAGACTGGTGATGTTGAACCCCTTTCCAGTGTGTTTATTAGATTTTTGTACATCTGGTTCTATTTTACATTTTAAAGCAAAGTGCATTCATCCATTAACAATAACACATGCCTTCACATTTGGGCCTCCAGAGAGGTGCCAGCATAGAGTCACATGTGGAAATTGCTGGCTAGGGACCAGTTTTACATGATGTTACATGTTGAGAGAGCATTCAGAGGACCCACACAGCATGTATGTGAACTCATAAGCCTTTCACGTTCTCCTTGCTAAATGTACCTTACTTCTGAGTATCTAATTACATATGGATATGTATACATTAGAGGCTAGTGTGCTCCTCACTGTTTAATTAGGGTTTCTTACATGAGCATGGATGGTGGGGTGGTTACTTACTGTAGTACAGGCAATTAAGCACTGGAGAAAATGATTTCCTACCCCTTGGTGGCGATCAATTGCCCATGGGTCCTGAGGAAGGGGTGTGGCCTCTCAAGTCCCTCTCTGGTCCATGGTGTGCTGTTGATGGGCCTGTCTCACACAGGTCTTGTGTTGCTGTGTTTTCATGAGTTTATGGCCATACTGTGCGCGAGACAGCAGTTTACCTCAGTCCTCTCCATCCTCCTCTTCACAAGTTCCCTGAGCCAGGGAGTGGATTATACAGAAGTTCTGTTCATGGTCGAACACTCAGCTGTCATTTATTCTCCCACTGTTTTCTTTCTTGCATCAAGGGTTAATCAGACACATGAGGGACGCAGTTGATTCGTGTCTGGATGGGGACTGTTCTGCCACTTACAAAAGGCCTAGTTCTGCATAGGGCCATATTTACCATCTCCTGACCTTAGGAGTTTTGTCAGTGACACACTCTGCCCTGAGCTTGCACAGCTAGGATCTTATGTGATGGGGGAGAGCATAGACCTACCAGGGCATAGATGTCTTAGACTCCACATCCTGCAAGCAGAGAGGATGTGAGCTGAGTGATCCCCTCTTGCAGGAAAGTCAAGACCCTCGATTCTGAGAGCATTAGTGGCTATGAGTATGTACTGGGCAGAGACATTCTGAATGTGTTAAAGGTGAGTGAGAAGGGGAGGTTGAGGAGGCTCAGTTTCCACAGGAAAATTTGAATAGCAGTCAAGGTCCTCTGTGCTGTTTATGACAGGGGTCCTTGATGCTCCAGGGAAGGCTCAAGTCCCTAGAGGAGTGACTATTCGGGAGGACACTGGGGTGCCTTGGGGCCTCATGCACACCAGAACCCAAGGAATGCTCACCAGAGTTGGACCCTGGTAGCTGTGGCTTCCTAAGGTCATGGTGGGCAGTGGCCCTGGGAAAGGGAAGAATAACCTTTAGGGACAAACAGTGTTTAAGGAGTGGATACTGCATCCGCAGAAGACCATGTACCTACCTTCTCTCTCAGGTGTGTGTTTGGAGGAGAGTAATTGAGGAGATACACTACAATGCCTCTTCTGTCGTGGGCCAGGGTGTGACAGTTCCTCAGCATGGATAGGTCCTGAGGAACATTCATCCAGGAAAGGGTCTCAGGAACTAGGAAAAGGTCTACCCTGGAGGTTTCCCTGAGTGGAAATGTCCGGTCCCTGAGACAGAAGCAGGGACAGCAGATAGAACTCAGTGAGTGTCACTTCTCAGGCTGGGCCTGCTGTAGTCAGACCTCCTGAGGACAGTGTGTGTGACAGTGGCCCGGGACAAGATATATTATACAGGACTTGTCCTAGCTGATCCTCAGGATCATGTGCTGTGGTTCCTCATGTAGTTTAGAAGTTGCTAGAAGGCAAGACAAACGTCTCTGCTTCTAGGCAAAGCAGGGAGTAGGTGTGACCAGGCCTCCCAGGACTCTGCATGTAAGCTCCAGGTTCTAGTTTCTAGGCTGTTCCTTCAGTCTTTGCAAGTTATTCATTCCTTTCTTCCTCCATCATAAAAGTGTTATGTGTTGGTTACACTGTTTCCCCTGAGTGTTGCAGGGTCCATGGGAGAAGCAGAGTTCTCTCCTTTAACCTCCAGTAGGACTGGCATGGGCACAGAAGAAACATGGGATTTCTAGTCCAGTGAGGGGGGCTGTGGGTTAGGGGATTCTGTTGAGTCAGGCGATTTGGTTCTAGAATCAAAATTGATTGTTCACTTGCTTTCACTTTCTGGACCAGACATGACATCAAGCTGCTGATGTCCAAGATTAAAGGAATCCTTCTCACCCAGGCATCAGCAGTAAGAGCACCCCACTGCTCACCCTAAGGCTGAAAACAGCAGCCTGCAGATCTCACGCTACACAGCCTTAGTTTTTCCCTTTGATATAGCACTCAGAAGTCCCCTTTAATTGTTAACATCTGGCCCAAATGTCATCTGCTTTTCCTTCCACAGCCTATGAAGTTTGCTGCATTCCCAGCTGCAGCAAAACAAAACAAAATAACAAAAGCTAGTGCATAGAAAGCACAGAGCTACAGTGTCTCTTTCCCTCCTCTTTTTCTACTTTTATCAATTACAGGCTTCTAGCTTCACTAAACACATGACTAACACCCTTTCTCCCTTCTTAGCCATCATGGCCGTTACCCCTGCCACCTCCTAAGTTTGCTCACACATCTCTGAGACACAAGGCTCTGCCAGATCTTACCTGCTTTTCTTGACCCTGAGATATGCATGCCCCGTATCCTTGCTTTTGTCAGAAAATTGCTAAATGCATCTGTATTGGGTATATAAACTGGAAGCCTTGTGGGATTGGAGGAACTTTTTTTTTTTAAGAAAAAAGAGCCATGGGAGGAATCCGTGTGTGAGCTGATATGTTTTCTTTCACCCTCAGTAAAGCCTTGTTCCCTGTCAGCTGTGACAGGAAGTCAAATCCTAGCCCTGGAGACAAGCTCTCCATGGTCACCAGGAGCTGAGTATGGAACAGAGTTCTGGAGCCAGGCCTTCCTTCAAACCAGCTATCTCTCTAATAAAATACCCTGCCCGAGGCCCACAGGATCTTCCTCAGGCCATGCTGGTGGGGAGAACCCCAAGAGTCGGGGCTGAAGATAGTCTCCCTTTTGAGTTACCCTTCCACAGGTCCTCCTCTTGCTAGAATAGATTCTGGTGGGGATCTGACTTTTCTGTTTGTCTGCTGTGTGTCCCACACTGTCCTGGAGTGTGTGGCCCTGAGAAAGACCACAGACTCAGTCTAGTTATAATTAAAATATGTACTCATTAGCTGCTAGCAGGACAGCAATCTCTGAGCCAGACTACAGATTGCCATGAGAAGGGGGTGAGAGGGAATTTTTAAAGGTGAAAAGCGGAAGACCTTCAACATCTACTCAAGCAAACAAATTTACCGGTGTCCCATTTTGATGATGTCACTAACCAAGATAATGGCCAAGTCACACGGCCACCTCCATCTTAATGAAGTCACCAGCCAACATGGGACCAAAGCCCTTGGATCCTGTTTTGCTATGTGATGAGCTCAGCTCCGTGATACATGAGCCCCCATCTCAGCAGGACATGAGT